CATGGGTGAAATTACCCTGAGGCGCAGTGCATGCTAGGGAGACGTTTATGAATGGAGCCCCAGCAGATTCCCCGGCCCTGCGTGTGCCTGTCTCTTTGAGAGGGAAGTGCATAAATCGTCAGGAGTGACTGCAGGAGAGCGGGTGGGCGGCCTTAAAGAATTTATGAGCAACTTCACAGCTTCTCACTCTCTCTCTCTCGCTGCATCTTAAGGGGCTTCGCAAACCAGCAGGGTTTCCACCAAAGAGTCTCTCCCCAGTTTAACTCCGACCCAGAAACAAGGAACTGGCAGGGGAGGGAGGAGAAAGATGGCTGGTCAGGCCACAGGGGGGCGGGGGGGGGGGCTCAGAGCCAGGGCAACGGAATCCAACAGGGCACTTGAGCATCTCTATAACCCTTTGGACACACAGCCCCCCCTCCCAAAACACAGCCCACTCCGAGCCCACAACGGGGCTCAGGGCACAGGGAGACCTTGGACTCTACGGCCATCTGCCCTGGCAACTGCGCCTCTTCCGGCCAGCTCGAGAGAGACCAGGAGCCGCTTGACCGGCCTCACCCGGCCAGTCGGTGCCCCTCCCTCTCCTTGGCTCTTCGAGGTGTCCTGGGCAGCATCTCAGAGAAAAGACGGGCAGGGGCAGGGGAGGGGCCGCCCCACGGGGCTCCTGCCCCCTCTTCCTGGCTGTACCTTTGCAGACACCAGCAGCCCCCAGGTGATAAATGCCAGCCAAGACTCGCCAGAGCGCTTCCTGCTCAGCCGCCTCCACCCCCAGGGTCCCCAGGGCGGCTTGGAGCTGAGCAAAGGCGGCCACAGCCTCCTGCTTCTCTTCTCCCTGCAAGGAGGAAGAGTGTCCCAGAATCCCCCACCAGCCTCAAGGCAGGTCCCGCAGCCACAGCACCCCCCCCTCCATCCAGGGAAAGGCAGAACCGGCTGGGGGGTGGGCTGGGGGCGGGAGAGACTCTGCCTGGCCAAGATGAGGGGGAGGGGGGCGGCCCCCTCCGCCCCAGAGAGGCCTTTGCGGGTCCTCCTGCTCCCCTCAGCAAGAATCGGACTCTGATGGAAATGGCTGATGGAACAAGTTCTCAGCACAGGGGGCGGGGGGGAGGGAGGGAACCGGCCTGACCCACAGACTTTCTCGGGGGACACCCAGCCAGGGGGGAGAGCGGGAGACGGAGCTACTTACCTTCAGGCTGGCTCTGATGCCAAAGTAGCTGTTCTCTGCCATCTGATGCAGATGCAAAGTTGACCTATTGGAAGAGGTTGGGGGGGGGGAGGGGACAGAGTTAAGCACTTGCAAAAAGCACTGATGCCCAGGGGGCCTGCAAGTATTTGGGAGCCAGTCAGCATCTTCGCTGCCAGCCAGAGCAATCAAGAGGCGCCCACAAAAGGGCCGCTGCTTGATAAAGCCCCCCCCCCCCAGGCCTGGTAGCATGGCAGCCTTTCTTGGCTCTCTGGCCCCCTCTGCTGGGGAAGGGAAGCCTCTTAAAGCAGCCAGGAGCAGCTACTGTACAGCAGCCTCCCCTTTAGAGTGGGGGGGCCCTGGCCTAGACTAAGTGGAATTTTCCTCCTATGGGATTTTCCCATGTATTTTACCAGGAAACATAGATAGGGCAGGCTAGGAAGGTCAGTGCCCTCCTAAGCATGCCCAAGCACTCCGAGTTTGTTGGCGATGTCCATTTTGCTCTGTGAGTTCATGGTGACCTAACCCTAACCCTAAGTGGAATTTTCCTCCTATGGGATTTTCCCATGTATTTTACCAGGAAACATGGATAGGGCAGGCTAGGAAGGTCAGTGCCCTCCTAACCATACCCAAGCACTCCGAGTTTGTTGGCGATGTCCATTTTGCTCTATGAGTTCATGGTGACCTA